CATGCTAATTACCCTTCTCTGTATCTCTTCAATTTTAACGGGTGTCCCGGAGGACACCAGCAGCCAAACCTAACACACAGGTTCGGCAAAGAAGGAGTCTCAGGGGGTGAATGTGGTCTTAGAGCTTGTACGGATCCTTGCAGCTGACCATTGTCACCATTCTTTCTTGCTTTTTTCCAGGTGGTTGTGTTTTGCTTTTCGAAGAATCGATGCGACCAGATTGCAGACAGCCTAACTGCGTCTGACCTGACTACCAGCCAAGAGAAAAGTGAGATCAGGGTTTTCTGTGATCGTGCGTTTTCACGGCTGAAGGGTACGGACAGGCAGTTACCTCAGGTGAGACAGACACCTCTTCTTTAAAGTTCTTTTATGATTATTTTTTTAATTTTGGTGTCTTTTTTGGTCCATTTTTCAATTTATGTGTGTCATCCTTGCAGAGGGCCCATGCTAATCTTCTATGTATCGTTCCAATTCTAACGGATTTCCAAAGGACTGCCAGAAACTTCTTCATTGTACCGAGGATTGATAGGGAATCTTTGAATTCTCAACAAGAGAGAAGTCAAAATTCGATGAACTTACTTCTCTGGACTGCCGTTTGTCCCACACAGAATTGAGTGAAGTTTTCTCTATGCTAGAAAATATTTCACCTGTACCGCCTCTTAAACCTTGTCTTATACCTCTGACTATTGACTTTAAGATTGAAAAACAGAGTACGCCATGCTAAGGTTCGTTATATCGGAAAATTCCGTCTTGTTAGGCACGGATTAACACATCGAACTACGGCACTCATTTTTTTTTCCACATCCTGTCATCAGAGCAATGGAGCTTTCTCGTCCTCGCATCAGCCTGATGTCATTTGGTGTGCACCAAAGCACCATCATAAAATAATATTAAAATTTATAATCATGGTTGATAAGGAGAGGGAAAATCAGCAAAAGAAAATGGAAAGGGAAAGCAAGCGAGGTAAAATTGGAACGATGTTACGACACAGAACATTGGCATGGCCCCCGCACAAGGATTAAAAAAGTAAAAAAAAAAAAAAGGACATGTGAGGAGTCTGAGGACCCGAACTACAGTTACCACACCACTGTCTTCGCTGGGGACGATTGTCTATTGGGGGCGATGGGGGTGGTTGTGAGGTAAGGGAAGCGTGGGTACTTGGTAGTATGTTGTTTTGGGTGGGTGGGTGGGGGGGGTGGTGGGAGGTGGATGCAACAACTCCCTTTGAACTTCTCCTAGACCAGAAAGACTTGTTTCATTTTTCTTCCAACTTGCAAAGGTTTCAGTTCTAAACAGAAGCTTTCTTTTGTCTCAACAATTGCTGCTACTGTCTTCACCTGAAAAGAACAATTCCTGGTCATTATCACCGTATCTAGACTCAAAGTTGCCCCAAATACAGCTATTACTGATAGGGCCAGGGCATTCGATTCTGGTAAAGGTGGTGGTTTCTTGCAATCAGGATGAGCTGCCAGTTACTGGCAGTTACTGGCAGTTACGGCAGCTAAGATGAGATGCCAGTTACTGCCAGTTACTGCCAGTTACTGCCAGTTACTGCCAGTTACTGCCAGTTACGGCCAGTTATGGCCAGTCAGATGAGATGCCAGTTACTACCAGTTATGGCGGTTAAGATGAGATGCCAGTTACTGCCTGTTACTGCCTGTTATTGACTGACATGCGCGGTGTAAGTCTTTGAGTTTTTGAGCCTAAGATTTCGGAGCTGTGTGCTTTGCTTTTATTGATTGTGTGGTTGGCTGGTTGCGTCCCTTCTGGTGCCGGGTTTCAGGTACTGCGTATTATGGAACTCTTGAAGAGGGGCATAGGGGTACATCACGCAGGCCTGCTGCCCATTGTCAAAGAAGTTGTGGAAATGCTGTTCTGCCGTGGTGTAATCAAGGTGAAGTGCTGCTCGTCTTGTCGTCGTTTTTGTGTCCGTTAATTTTCTTGGCTTTAAAGGCTTTCCTTTCGTCGCTTCCTTTCTTTTTATTTTTTTTCCTTTCTTTTTCATCCCTCTCTTCTCTTTTCGAAGTTTTCGTTCGATTATTGGCTTTTCTAAAGATTTTTTTTTTCCTTTTCCCTTTGGGACCATCGCAATGTTTTGTTTTTTTAATTAAACAGTCGGATTACCCTTGTCCGTGCCAGTTCTGAGTCGCCGCTGTTTGATGCTTAGGTTGTTTCCACTATCTACTTTTTCTTTTTTTCTTTTTTTCTCTTTTTTCTGTTTTGGCCTTTTGAACCTTTTCCCCTGTTTCCGAGAAAACCAAGCAGGAGAATCTCAAATCACATGAAAGTTGGTGAAACACTCGTGACCAGCACACGTATGGCGACCAGGCTAATAGCAGAAATGACGAAGCAGTGATCTCACTGGTACACAGCCAGAGAATGGTGAAGTCTCTCTGATGATGGAAAGTTCCCTTATTGCCGCCTAACAACCATCAGAATAATTCCAAGTTAACAGCAGTAACAGTTCTCAGCTCTTGCTGGACCAGTAACAGTTCTCAGAATAATACCTGCTCGTACGAACAGGTATGGCCACCTACTTAATCATCTACACTTGGCCTATACTACACCATAGTACAGTGCCGCAGAGTTCTGGAGCTGCATCGTTGCTCCCAACGATGCCTGCTCGAATAAGAACATGTCCTGCTGAAGTGCTTCTTGGCAACCACCAGCAGGCTAAGTCCCACGCCAACTCCTCCCTCCTCTGCGGCCTTCCCCCTCCTTCAAGGATCTCCCGATTCTCCCCCCCCGCCTCCCCCTCCTTTTTTATTGCCACCTTCCTCCTTCAGCTCAGCGCCCTACGGCTATGGCACTGGTCTTCTTCCTCAGTCCAGCTATGGCCGGCACTGGCTCGATGCTACCCTCTCCTGCTAGCCTGCTTTCATTTAGAGCTCCTGCAGCCTGGCTGCATCCTGCATCCCAAAAGATGTTTCGACCTTCCCTGGTCCTTAGTTTTATATACCAGACCTGGGTCCCCGTTCCGCCGGTAAGCATTGCCTTCTGGAGTCTTCTGGTTACAGGCGTGCCCTACCAGGTCCTCTATGCAGAACATATTCACAGAGTCTTCTGGTTACAGGCGTGCCCTACCAGGTCCTCTACGCAGCACATATTCACAAGGTGCGGTTTTATTAAAGAATAAAAAAGTGCCCTGCCAGGTCCTATGCAGAAATATTCGCAAGGGTCCGTTTTATTAAAGAACAAAAAATTGCTTTGATGGAATTGTTACAAACGATATTCCAGATGGCTTGACGATAATGAATGCAGATCTGAATTCCTTGGCGATACCACTGTGGGCCTCCCCTCCCCCCCCCGCGGGCTTACCGCGGCTGCTGGCAGGGAGCTAGCGGGGCTTCTTCTGTGACACAATACTGCTGGATCAGGCTTTCGTCCATCGTCCAGCCCAGGAGGTCCCTGTCTGGGTGTGAATAGGCCCCGTTATGTCTGGCTGGGGCTCAGGGCTTTCTGGTGCATGCTGAGCGGATTCAAGGCCTCACATTGTTTTCTTTTTTCATGGCTATATTGCTGGATCAGGCTTTCGCGCTCTTTCAGCCCACGAGGAAGGCAATGGAGAGGCGGTGAAGCCTGGAGTGAGTTGCGTGCTGATGGGCCCACGAAGAATGAGTTGTCCACCTCCACTCCTATTCAGAGCGCTCCATGGATGCTCTGTTAGCCATTCAGAGCTTTTCCACCATAGATATCATCTAAACCCCAAACATAACAGATGATCATATTTATGGTTGTACTTGGGCCAAATTTCACCCCAGATACGGCTGTAATGGCCGTATCCGGGAAGGCGGTAGCATCCTGGATTTACCAGCCCAGCTACTGTCTTCGCCGCCATCAATGGTATAACCTTGCCCGGCCGCCAGAATGAATTTTTTATGTTGTGAGAACTACTGTTTTAACCCGAATAGAACACCCTGTCACTATAGACGCATTAGGCTGAAGGCAGTCATATGTGTCCCATTGAGAACAGGTATCGCCGCCATCAATGGTATAACCTTGCCCGGCCGCCAGAATGATTTTTTTGTGTTGTGAGAACTACTGTTTTAACCCGAATAGAACACCCTGTCACTACAGACGCATTAGGCTGAAGGCAGTCATATGTGTCCCATTGAGAACAGGTATGTGTCCCATTGAGAACCGGTATGTGGGACTCCCCATTGAGCTTTTTCCACACTGCACATTGGGGGTCAGTCTCTATGGAACAGGAAGGAATGCCAAGGTGATACCACCATGTGTGTATTCAGGACCAAGGGGGGGGAATGGAGAGAGACTGGGAGGAAAGCAAAAGCGAAATGAAGGGGAAGGAAGAGCAGAAATAAGCAGGAGAAAAGACAAGGGTAGAGCATAAGAAATGAGGGAAACGGGGGGAGAGAGAGAGAGAGAGAGAGAGAGAGAGAGAGAGAGAGAGAGAGAGAGAGAGAGAGAGTCACTGCATTGTGAGTGTGTTGGACTCTACTCGATTTGTGAAAAAACGAGTAACCATACGTCTTCATGATGCAGATCCTTTTGTCGACGGAGACGTTTGCGATGGGTGTCAACGCTCCTGCAAGAACCGTAAGTTTTTCTATCTTCTCTTCCACTTTTTTGTACTTATGTCTCGTGTTTTCTGAATTTAGTGAGCAAGCAAACAAGAGTTGTTAAACAAGTAAGCAAACCAGCAAAGTGAGCAAACAAGTAAGCAACTAAAGCCAGCAAGCAAGCAAGTAGAGACAGCTGAGACACAAGCAATTGCATGCTCATGTGTGTGTGTGGGTGTGGGTGTGTGCGTGTGTGTGTGTGTGTGTGTGTGTGTGAGAGAGAGAGAGAGAGAAAGAGAGAGAGAGAGAGAGAGAGAGAGAGAGAG